TAAAATTATTTTTTTGAAAAATAATTATATTTTTCATAAATTATTTATAATTTTTTAAAAATGATAAATTAAATTATTTTTTATTTTTATAATCTTTATCAAACAAATAACTATTAAATTTTAATTTTACAAAATACTTTTTTTATGAAATAATTCCAAACAAAAGAATTTATGAGCAAGACTAGCTGTAAGTTTTATTATTATTATTAAAAAAGTGAATTCAATTTTTATTCTTCGTGTAGTAAGTTCTGGTTGAATTTTAGTATAATTTAAGGCTAAAATAATCTTGTTTATATACCTCTTTATAAGCAGCTTATTGATTGATGTGAGACTTTATTTATACCTTAGTATTTTCTAATTATATAGTGTAATTTTAAATTTTATCATATTTTTGCTAAATTTTTTATGTTTAAATTTATTTATATTCTAGTTTTATTATGAATCCTCTAAAAATTTAGATAATAATGAAATTATAAGTATTATCTAAATAATGTAGTGTACTTAAATATCAATCATCTTTAAACCTTTTTAAGTTGCATAGTTATCCATCAATTTTTTTAAATTAATTAGTTCTAAAACTTTACTCTTATGACTCATTCATTTAATTTATCTTACAACAAAATCAATCTCGAATAAAATTTAAACAATATCTAATTGTGGAAAACTTTATTCAGCAACAATAATACTTACATGTCTTAACTATAACATTATATATGTAATCATTATATTTTTTTAATAAATTTATTCTTAGGATAATAATTACGATCAACTCCCAATTTTATTTTTATCCAGATTTTTAGAGGATTCATAATAAAATTGAAAGTTAAATAAATTTAAACGTAAAAAATTTAGCAAAAATATGATAAAATTTAAAATTATACCATATAATATGAAAAATATTAAGGTATAAATAAAGTCCCACAACAATGAATAAACAATTTATATGAAGAGGTATACAATATTATTTTACTATTAGAGCTTGCTACACGGAGAATGAGAATGACATGACAATGAAAATTACACTTCTTCTAAAATGAAGAAAAGCAATGGAAGGATTGTAAAGTTGAAAAATATCTAATAGTTAATTCCACAATTGAGAATAAGAATTAGGCACTTGTACGTTGAAAAATGTCAAAAACAAACGATTTTACACGTTTCTAGATAATAAAAAACAATTTAAATATATTTTTTTCTCACAAAATATAACAAAACTTTATTTTTATTTTTATAATTATTTTATTTTATATTTTTAAAAGCTATTGATTTTAATTTTTTATTAACATTATTTTAAAAAATATATCATGTGATCCTAAATTTAATATATAATAATGTCTAAATTAATTAGTTATTATTTAATAGTAATTATGAATTAAAACTAATAATTTTTAAAATGCATTACAGTTAATAGGAATAGATATTACATATGTTAATAAACTTCAGCTCCATGCCAACTGGCAGAACCAATTTGTTGGATGCATGACATTTCTTCTTGCTGTTAGGACATGAAAGACATTTAACCTTTCAATTTGGAATTCTTATAAAGTGACAAAAACTCATGTTTAACATAAGATTTCATTATTCTTATTAATAAAAATAAAATTTATAATTTTATTTTGTTAAAATGTCTACATTTTGTGTTGATTGTAACGAGAACTCATGTGTAACAGAAGATTTCACTTGTTTTTAATAATAAAAGTAAAATATTTAAAGTTACTCATTGAATAAGTAACTTATTAAGAAATATATAAATAAGATTACTCTTTTTTCACGTTAAAAAAAACTAGAATAGGTAGATTACAAGAGTAGCACCCTCTTGATTACAAGAGTAGCACCCCCTTTGATTACAAGAGTAGCCCAACTGCGAAAGAGTAGCACCCAACATGAATGTCAACATGAACAGAAGTGTCTCCAAATAGCACGCAAAAGTAGAAGTCATGTAGAAATCCATGTAGAAATCCACGACTTACATAATGTTATAGCGGGCTTTACTTACAGAATGTCTCACCACTTTGAAACGTAAGTCTCGATAGCGGGCTTTACTTACATAATGTCTCACCACATGAAGATTCCTTGCAAACAAGATTATAAGAGTAGCACCCTCTCAACTGTATAAACCTCGTACAAGATAGCACCCCTCAACTATATTACAAGAGCACATCCATCAACCATGGACATGCCCTACCTTCATTTCTATTCCATACTGCTACAATTCATTGATCCTCTCAATGAATTTATCGTATGGAAATTAATTTTTGCCACAGCTATGGGTTGTCACCTTATTGCAACAATAGCTGAAACCTCCTCCACAACAACAATGATATATCACGTTAGTGGGATAATTGGATCCGAGGCACTCCTGTTCATGTTCTTCTCTAAGGTTTGGTGCTATGGCCTTGTCAATTTCCTGGTTTTACTAGTAGCGTCCCTGTGCTTCAAAGATTATATTGTTTCCTCCTCTCCGGATGCCCAAGAATGCGGATCCGCCGCTCCGCCCCAGGGCCTCCTCCACGCTCCCCCAACTCCTCCTTCCCCCGCCCCCATCCTCTCCCTGATTTTCCCTCAACCAAAAATAGAGCGAGAACATTCAGTACACGACAGAACTCAAATATGCTCTTACTTTCGATTCCTTTCTTTTCTTGTTCCACTTTTCAATGTTGCTAGTTTATTATGTAGTATTCCCCCTCCTTTTTCTTTTCTTGTATGCTCATCATGTACAATTTATTTTTCTTTTATGATCACTTGTAATTGCTACCAAGAATACCGAATCAGAAAACATAAATATTTATTTTTTGGGTTTTAGATTTAGTTTCTATATATATAGATAAAATAGAAAAGAGCTGATGAAAGATGATCCCCATGGGACATATCCTTTAACGCTCAAGTTTATATAACAAACCTATAATAAAATATTAATCTTTATATATTCTTAAAATTATTTTAAAAAAAACTGAATTAAACGTGCCTAGCAGTGATGCTAATTTTTTTTTCATCTATTATTTATTCTCTTATTATTTTTATTTATCTTTTTATATATCATGATTTTTATTTTTATCTTTCTCTTTCACTATTCATTTTATATCCATTTAACAAGTGTCAATAAATTAAAAAATTTTAATCAATGATGTGATAGAATAAGTAAATAATATTGTGGGCCAAAATGTTTCCAGGATAGTTTCCAACCGCACACGCTCTACAACACATATTTTTAATCAAAGCCTGCTTTCAAATTTAATTAACAAAATTAAAAATTTACTTATTTTTAATAATAAAAATAAAATTTATAATTCTATTTTGTTGCTAAAATATTTATGTCTTACGTTAATTATAACAAGAACTCGTATGTAATAGAAAACTTCACTTATTTTTAATAATAAAAAAAATTAAAAATTATTTTTAGTAATATAAATAAAGTCTCACATCTTTAAATAAGCAATTTATGAAGAAGTGTATAAATAAGATTACTCTTTTTTGCACAACAAAAATTAGAGTCTGTTATCCATCGATGTCAAGAGTATCACGGCGAAAAATTCAACAAAATGCTCGAAAAGAAGTGGGACCAAAAAGTAGTTCATTGTCATTGACCAAAAGTGGATTATCAAGCGAATGCCAAGGGCAGATCTAATATCCTCTTTTTTTTAAAAAAAAAAAAAAAAGTTAAGAGAAATTTTTTTTTTTGTAAAAATAATTAAATACTATAGACCGTTTATTTTAATCAAATAATTTAAAATAAATTATAGAATATCATATATTCAAGTTAAATTTATTAAAGGATACATTAATAATTTTTTGATGTTTTTTTCCTATTTTTGTTAGTATTTGTCATTTTGTTTTCTTCATCTTCAACAATAAAAAAGTTAGTTTATACAGTTCTATGATATAACTAGTAAAATAAAGTAAGGTTAAAGAGTTGTAGATATTTAACTTATATTATTTTAATATATATATATATATATATATAACTTTTTTTTAAATTATTTTTTACTTTAATTTAATCAAATATTATATATATATATATATATATATTTATTATACTTACTTTTTATTTCTTATCGTTTTTTTTCTCTCTTACTGATATATTTTTTAAAGTAAAGAGATAAAAATAATAATTAAGATATGGTAAAAGAAACAGACAAATGGAGTAGGAGATAAGACATTTTATTTATTTATTTATATTATTAAGGAAAATAAATTAAAAATTAAAAAGAGAAATGTAAAAAAAAAAAATAGTAGTAGGTATATTTTTTATTATTAAAAATAATAATCTTCATAGGATTATAAAGAAAATAAAAATTCAGGGTTTAAGAACATAAATTATAAGAAAAATAAAAAGGAACAGTAGCATACCAGAAAGCTATCAAAGACCAAAACAAACTTTTTTTTCTTTCAAAAGGACCATCTTTCAATATGTATTTTTAGAACATGTGTTTTTTTTATATTAAAAGATATAATTCTATTTTGTTGCTAAAATAATTAGGGCTGAATCTATGTCTGCTGAGTAATAAGAACTTATGGGTAACAGAAAATTTCACTTTTTTTAATAAAAAAATAAAAAAAACTAGTTGGTTTGGAATTATTTTATAATATTTCATAATAAAAATATTTTATAAATTTTTTTTAATAGTTGGTTGTTTTATAAAGATTATAAAAAATTAAAAATAATTGAATTTTATGTCACAATATTTATGGGCCTTGGCGTTAGCTTCTGTTGATAAGTACAAGGCCCATAAACAATTAAGCCGAACCACCTTGATATTCTTCACTGCCATATTTCGTCATTGTTGAACTTTACTTGAGTTAGTAAAATATATTAAACCAAGTAATTTAATTATCTGTTATATATATTGTATATTTTGATGGGTGATTGACTCTGTTTTATGCTTGATGATTACACAAAATTCTCTATACATGCAAAGGTGTCAATCAATTGCAGATAATGCAACAAGGAAAACAGAACTTAATTGAACAACATCATTTGAAGACGAAAATAAAGAAAAGTGTTAAAGTAAGAATAAACTCTCACGTTTTTCAATATGCAACTTATCAAGAAGTATATAAACAATCACTTTAGGTTACATCAAAAGAAACAATGAATGAAAGTCTGCTTTCAAAATTAATTAACAAAATTTTGAAAAAATGCTTCAACCCAACCACCACCACAAATTGACAAAATACGAAATACAGATACATAAAACGATTCAACGCCCTTACTCAAGATCACCAGTTCCAGTTCCGAACGAAATTTTCCCCTTACCCTTCCCAGCCCCCAAGGTATTCCTCCTCCTTTTTCTTTTCTTGTATGCTTATCATGTACAATTTATTTTTCTTTTATCGTCAATTGTAAGTGCGGAATACCGAATCAGAAAAAATCAATATTTATTTTTAGTGTTTTAGATTAGTTTTTATATATAGATAAAAAAGAAAAGAGATGATGAAAGATGATCCACATGGGAACCATCCTTCATCAGGATTGAATGGATTCTGCTCAAGTTGAGCACAACAAATCACAAATACAGCACAAAATATGACACCCTTTATGCTACTACAAAAGCACTGGATGAACCTGTAAAGTGATTAATTGATCCAAATAAGCCCTTAGCAGCACCAAAATGTTTTATTCTATACACACCAGGAGTCACGCCCTGTGGTATCCTCCACTCCAAGGTTGCTTTACTTCTAGAACTGAGTTTTGAAGGCCGTGACCACTTAAAGCGCAGACAGAAATCATCATCATCGTAAGCAGGAATCCAAGTATCCTTTTGTTGGAGAAACTCCACCAGTGCAAAGGTGCCTTCAGTCATAAGGTCATTACGAGGGCACGCTGACCAGAATGTAACTGTCACCGTGTCACCACTCTTGAAGGTTGAGTTCTGAGACACATCAGAGCAAACATCCCCAAAATTTACACCAAGGGGAGTTCCATCCACCACAACTGGTGGAAGCAAGCTTATTTGCATATCTAGGAGATCAGGGGGTTGAGGACCAGCTTCAACCGGTTCGTTGTTCATCAGTCCCTCTGCCAGTTTCTTAAACTCTTGAATGTATGCACTCAGTGTGTGCGGACCGTATAGTGTGGAAGCACCCTGACAACATGAAAATTGAAGTCAGCTACTTATGACAGCTACACAGGAAATGCTATTGTATCATTCTTCATATGCCTGTGCATGTTGGCATCTATGAGCACAAGTGTGCAACATGATTACTCTAGCATATGACAGTCAAAACAGTTGATACAAAGTAATATGATCGGATTAAGAATTTAAATCACTAAAAATAAGCTTTCATGGATGTTGTATTTGTTCTTGCTATGGCAATCTAAGACATGTGAAATGTTTGTCTGAGCTTCATGTCTCTTAAACTTACCTCGTATCTTTGCACTTGATACTCTTCATATGTAGTGACGTACTGTGAATATGTATTAGTCAACCCTGCTATAACAACATGAATGTCTTCATATTCAAAATCTTCATCATTACTTAGCACCATCTTCACTGCATCACGAAGACGCCTCCCAGCCATTGTTGTGAATTCTGTCAAAATTACAACAATTACAAACTAGCATGAAGCACCAAAGAGTGGGCCAGAATAAGTTGTTTCACAAACACTTGAATAATTGCATAAATAACCATCAATTTCCAGATAAAAAAAAATAACCAGAAAATTAACACAATAAATTACTCTCTCCTCCCTTGAGATAAAGTTAAATTACACTGCTCTACCCTATTATTTTAACAATCCCCTTTCCGTGAGAGACAGTAAGTGCTACACTCTAATCCATTTTTAACGTGAACGAGTCTGCTGATGTAATCAGTAATTATGAATGAGCTTCCCATGCGTCTTTTTATTTTCTTGGTACCTTTTACGATCACTGACAAGTGGCAAGTAATTTTAAATATCATATTATAAATATTAGTAATTTAGAAAATGAAATAATGTTTTAAATAATCTTGTAATCACCTTTGGAACATCATTTATAATTTTCATTTCATCTTTTGAAGTTCAAAGTCAATAGTATGCGTTCAAATTGTAGAAGATATTAATCTCTAAAGGGAGGGAAGTGTAATTTACTTAATATAATAAAACAATAACATATTAAGAAACATATTAGGATCTCATCTTGTCTCAAAATATTTATACATATAATATGAAAGGGAAAGAGAAAACTAATTAAGGTTCAGTTAGACTTTGAGCTGTGCCCAGTAGTAGCAGAATCCAATTCATCATAACATCATGATATCAACAATAGTTATTCCATAAAATTAGTTTTTAAAGCTAAAATACATCCAATAACTAGATCTAGCCATGTTTATTTTTCATTAAGATGTACAAATATATAATGGTTTCTCTCATAATTGAAACAACAATTCAGGATGTGTAGGGTGGAGATTCCAACAATAACATATTACAGCAAAATAAGAGCAGGAGACAAACTGGTACCTCCTGGTACGCTAAGAATGAAAAACTGCCCGATTTGAAGGATCTGAATTGGAAGTATTGAAGGCTGCAAAATTAAAAGGAATAGGAAAGCTTTATACAAGTAGAATTTATCTATTTATTAGCACATACTATATCTGCATGACTGAAAAAGGGATACAATAATGTATGCAGAACTTCTGTTGGCAAAGGACGTGATTAGGAAAAAATTTAAAATTAGATCAATATATGATTAATAATAGATCCCCATTAATATAAAATCTTATCTGAAACAACTTGAAAACTCTATTGAATCTACTAACTGGACAACACCCTTCTTTTGGTTGGTTTGTGAAATATATCTTGTTATATTTCCAACATCAATATATTGTGCTTCTATGAAATTTATATTTTAAACAGACCATTTTCAGATAATTGAATTTAGGACAAAATGAAGTTACTAGCACAATGAGACCCACACTGGAAATGGAAGACCCCCCTCGGGGTTGAAAACAGTTTACATTGGGTTAATGAATGAGAGAACAACAATTGTTGATATCGAGTGATCATAGTTGGACATATACGTCCATACTCCATACAATTTCAACTTTTATGTCAAAGTTGACACATTTGTTGGAACCAAAATGGCTCAAAAATAGAAAATAAAGAAACAGAAGAAGCAAGATGTGATAGTGTAATATCTGCTGAGTGCTAAAGAGAATCACCTAATTGATCAACACACAGAAGATAATTGAATTGAACCAAAGGACTACAAAATCATTATATACAGGACACGCGGTAACTTACAGCCCAATCATATGGTTTCTTCATTTCACCAGTGTCTAGCAAAATGGGCTTTGGGTGCTGACAATCTATTTGTTCCTTGCTTGGTGTCTTGAGTAAGTTGCGAACCAGCTTCCAGAAAGGATTACCCTGACATACAATCAAAACAAATATTAAGCATACACCATGACAGATATATTTAAGACTACAAGCCTAGTATAATGGACAAGCATAAGGTATAAAAAAACAATTACCTTGTCATCACCTTGCTTAAAATCAAAAGCTCCAGGTCCATCTGTTGTTCCAGCGGCAAATGCAAATCCCATTGCAGCAGGGCATGTCTTTACAACTTCAGAAGCTCCCTGATTCGAAATTGTTACCTCAAGTTGGGAGAAATCTATATAGGCGTGTCGAAAATCAACCTCCCCTTCAATCTCTTCATCTGCTGCATTGAAAAGATCCACTGCTTTTCTAAATTGTCTTTCCCCAATAATGCAAGTACTTTCAAATTCATCTGGGTAACTGCCATGTAAGTTATGGGATGCAATTTAGTAATTCCAAAGGCTTAGGTGACATTTCCATCAATTGGGAAAACAAACAATAGTGTGCAAAAAATAATTACCCAGGTCCTCGGCTATAGCATAATTCATTCTTCCCTTCACATGTACTATGATTGAAGTCACAAGGTAATCCAGTGTCTATACAAAAAGCTCCAAGCACATTTGGACTAACATCTCCACAATTTGATTGACAAAATGCAGACACAAACCTAGGCTTGTCAACTTGCCTAAGAGCTCCTCTCACGCGTCTAGCAACACTTGAAATTCTGGTTGCTGGTCTACCAGGAGGCGATTGGAAGGAGGCAGCAAGTTCCAGTAATTCATGATCTGCACCAATGAATTTTAAATGATAATATAAATACAATCATTTGTTTTTTTTTTCTTTTGTCAGATATTTTCCTACTTCTAACCTAGTTACATCAATTACACAAGCAAAGGTGTCATTCATTCAGTAGAATTCTCTCAGCCGTAGCTTGTACATTTACATCCTTCTCTTTCTTGTATGCGGACAATACCGAACCAATGTCAGGACTTTCAAGCAGAAAAGACAGGCAACATTAAACGCAACAGATCTTCCTCAAATTTGTATAGCTTGACGATGCAATTGAACCCATATTACAAAAGTACAAAGAAAATTGGCAGTACAAGCAATTACACATACCAGAAGCAGCCAAGAGAACTAGATCAAAAACGTCAATGGAGCAATTACATAATTTGAGCTATGGTTAAAGACATACACACAAATGCTGGTCCATATATGCATATGCTCCAGCACTGACTACTTGCTACTTCCCAACTATCAAATAGGAACAGATTAAAGTCAAATACAATGACAACACTGAACCTTTTTCCCATTAAGTAAGTGAGGGTTAACTATATGAATCACCATTGAGTAAAAAACTAAATTTTCATAAATCTTGTCAATCAGAAAGTCAAATAAAAAAAATAAAATACACTTGGTTACTTAAATTGCAAAATTTCCTTTTGTTCTTCAAAAACTGATGCTATAATATATATATATATATATATGTTTATGCAAACTATTTTCGGACAGTCTGTACTAGCTACACACCATCAAGAGTTACAAAGCGTGATGCATTCCAAATGAAGGATCCACCAGGCATATAGAACTAAAAATATAGATTCTATTTAATTAGGATATTTATCTCGTCTCTAAAATCTGTATTGAAAAAGAAGCTAATAATTTCATCAATGGATGCATTGCATCCAAAAGTAAAGGATAAGCAACTTACGATTATCACGAAGGGTAGGAATTATATTTGAGATTCCTTGGGGCAAACCATTGTTTTCAAATACATCAGAATCCATTCTTCCTGAACCCTTTAGCTCAAACCAGTCTTCCATAAATCGTGCAGCAGCACCTTTGTTATCCCCACTAATTAACGAGTTTGTACGACTCATTGAAGTCCCATGAGTAGCAAACCAACTGAAGCTTCCAACAGGTCCCCATTCATCATCAACAAATTTTAAAAGCGTCATTTCTTTATCAACATTATACTTGTATTTGCTTCTCTCTTTAGCAGGGTTATTGAGATAAGCACTGGGACTGCGATTTACACCAGCATCTAAGAGCTGTCCTGCAAGTTGAAGATAACCTTCTAATTAGTCATAAGTTATTACCATCCAATTTCACCTCAAGGGAGGGAGGAAAATCAGTAGCAATCATTTTATCCAGTGATTTCATACTAAAAAACCCAGCGCAGATATTATTAAACTTTAACAAATCCCTACTATTTAGAGGGAAAAAACTTTATATGGTGCTAATTGATCCCTGATGCATTTTTCATTTATTTTCTATTTCTTATATGATATTTTTCCAAGTTGGGTATTTTATGAACCAAGCCAAACATACATACATGGCACTATGTAGAAAGAAACACTATCTAAAGTTCATAAATAAGAATTAAAAGCTTTGAAGAGGTCTGAAAGACAAGTTGACAATATAATAGAAACGCTTTACTAATTTCAAAATAAAAGTTAGGGAAAACTCCAATTTACCCCTTCCAACTTAGGGTCATGGGTCTTCAAACTTTCCAAAACATAACAAAAAGAATTGATTCTTGTAGTTTTTTTATCATTTCTGACATAAATTGATATGTATGTTGTATTGCATGCTTGCACCTGTGTATAAGAACCCAAGGAAGAAAGGAAGCAAAGTAAGTAACTTTTTTTTTTCTTACCCTTATTGACAAATATTGATCCTGGGCGGAGATTTTCATGGGCCTGAATAATGCATTTCTCAATGCCATCAACAATGACATCAAAGGACTGGCGCACAAATCCAAAAGATGTTACAATATACACAACATATTGAAGATAACCCCCAGGACCAGCATGAGTGTGAATCCCACTGATGGCTACATTCTTTTCAGTATATAGGTCACCATATCTGTCAAACACATTGGAAGTATGACACTATGACTTCAAACATGCAATTATTGAAACCAAAATATTTAAGGGGAAACCACAGTTACTACTACAGGAAATCAAAGTTAATTTTTCCTAAGCTAGCAATACACTCTTTTGAATACTCTCCAACATTGGTTCTTTTTATTAAAAAAGTCAAAGAAAATTTTAAAAAGTGATCAATATACTAGGCAAAAGTTTTGACTTTTAAAAAATGAACTTATCACAGGAACCGAATTATAGAGCATGATCAAAAGAGGGTATTGCTAAGGCTAACATTTGTCTTTTGGTAATGGTCAAGCTACCACAATTTCTTTATCACAGTAACCACGGATAACTGAGACTAGTCACTGCTAGTACCTTGCCTTAAGCCTCTCAATTACTTTGATGGTCACAATCTGTGAAGCCATACAAGCATCAAGGTTCACAAACACTACCCGTTTACCCTTTGGCTCTGCAACGATGAAAGCACGAGCACGCAGCCTGAAGTGAATTCCAGATGCAATTTGTCCTGTGTTAGCATACCCCATCATGTTAACATCAGCAGCAGGACCCGTAATATCATAGCTTCCAAGACCAATCAAGTATTCAGAACCAGAATACACAACATCACTCTTCAGCAGCAACAGAAGCAAGTAAAAGGTCCAGACTCGCATATTTGCACATACCCTCCACACATTCAAATGATGAAAGGAAGGAATCTCCATCACACACCCAAGTTCACAGCACAAAAAGCCAATTTTTCAAGCTTAGCAAGTTCTTCTCATTTCCCTTCACCAAAACACACCCACAAACGAAGTTTTCAGTCATTTTAACAATAATAATAAAAAAAATGAACCACAATTAGAATTCCGGAATTACTGACTATGCTGCGTGCATGATCAGAATTCAGCAATCGGTTACAGTTTCACAATCAACCAGAAAAATAATATCTCAATTTTATATATGTTAATTTCTTAAAAAAAAAAAAAGATCAAAATTTTCTTACCACCCAGATAAAAAAGCTGCGGACTTTACATGAAGATAAAGAAGGGGAAGTAGTATAAGCTGTATTCAGTCCACTCTTGAATCTATCAGTTACAGAGAGAACGACCCAGAAAATCAGAGAGAGAGAGCGACTCTTGTATGAACCAACTGTCAAGTGCCAACTACCTTAGGAAGACAGGAAGGGCAATTTCCCTCTGATATTTGAAGCTTCCCAATTTGGCTTATTATTATTATCGTCAAACCAATAAATAAACAAAATAAGCAACTTGCAAAATCAAATAAAACATTATTTTTCTCTGTCCTAAATATGAATATTTTGCGATTTCATTCAGCCTAGGATTCGCTGCAATCCAACGTATGATAACACAGCAGCTTTGTCGGAGAAATTTTAGGTTCCAGTTTTTAAAAATGTTTTTAATATTAAATTTTAATAACATAACTTACAATAATATTAATTGAATAATAACATTAAAAGTATTTAAAAATTACATTTAAATTTTATCTTTGGTAAAATTTGGACTAACTACGATGAATTTATTTTTTTTAAGGAACAAGGTTACTTGCATAGTGTTTACGATAAACCAGATGCTACTGACCTAGTAATTGTGTAGTTAACTATGTATCAAATATTTTAATTAAAAGATGATTATGCACTTATGCTTGAGTTAAAGGGAATGCCGTGTTTGAGTAAAAGTAGATGTAATTATATTTGAATGTTTGACAGATTTGTAATTATAAGTAGATGACACAATAAAGTTGTGTGTGTTGAGCATTTTAATATTTTGGGCAATGGAACTGAAAAAAAAGAGCTTTAAGGTGCGTGTGGATAGTAAAAAATGGTGGAAACTACGATGAGTTATTTGGACTGACTCTATTATGTTTATGTATGTAATTGGATATCGGGTTTAAATCTTTTAATCTTAATGCTAGTTAGTTAATAGTTATGGTTACTTAATTGTTATTTAATTTTTTACTTTGATTTGCTATTTCTTGTATATAATTTTTTTTAATAAAATATAATCTCTATATACTTCAACACTCTATAATAAAGAATAAATCACATATTTTATCTGTGTATGATGAGATATTTTTTCTGAGTATATAAGACTTGAATACCAATGATAGAAAATTAATGTGATCTAATTGGAAAAAATTTTGGATGTATTGTGATGATAGACATCACTCTTACTGTGATCTCATGCTAGGAGTATATAAAAGTGTTGTTGAATGTGCAGCTACATGCTACCTTTTAGCCTTTAGGCCTAGTTTTGATAATAAGTTGTGAGCAACCAATAAATGTTAAGAATCTTAAATTAAAATTCATAAAAAAAATAATTTTTTTATTAATAATTAACCTGCACAAATATAATAACTAATTAATTATATCAAATACTGTACACTAATAGTTAAGAATATTTCTAATGTTTACATTAGTATTTTTTTTTTTTTGTAGACTTAAGAGAATTTTTTAAAAAGTCATATGAAATTCATTTCAACATATAAAAAAATTATTATTTTTAATTTATTTAATATTTTTAAATAAGTTGTATTAAAATAAGTATTTAAATTTTTTAAAATAAATTTTATGTTTAAATATATAATGATACTATATTTTTAATCAGTGTTAACTTTTTAGGAATATTTTCTCATAAATTTAAATTTTTTAAATGTTATATAACTTGATAACCGGATACTCTTCTCGTTTAGATTAACAAAATTGTATTTTAAATTTTTATTTTAAAAATTTATATAAAAATAACATAAATATCTTTTATTATTTTTACTATTTTTTATATGTTTCTATGTGTATATATATATTTTTATAAATCTTTAAAAATTAAAAAAAGTGAAATATAATTTGTATAATTTAAATTGAAAATGAATTGAAAAAGTTTTGTTAAAACTAAATAACTCATAAATGCTGAATATTTCGAAAGTGGCTTGAAGCCGCAACTTGTCAATAGGTTAAGTTTATATGTTCTCAACCACGGAAGCAGAAACCCCACACCAAAGTCCAAACCCTCAAAACCCTAAAGCCCCCTCAATTTTCCGAAACCCTCCGTCACCGCCGGAACGATGGCGGAGCTCAAACTGTCCGAGAGCCGCGACCTTACGCGCATTGAGCGCGTGGGCGCGCACTCCCACATTCGCGGCCTCGGCCTTGACTCCTCGTTAGAGCCACGCGCTGTTTCTGAGGGCATGGTTGGCCAAGTCGCCGCCCGGAAGGCTGCCGGTGTCATCCTCCAGATGATCAAAGATGGAAAAATCGCCGGCCGAGCCGTCCTCATTGCCGGTCAGCCTGGTACCGGCAAAACCGCCATCGCCATGGGGATGGCGAAGTCCCTCGGCCTCGAAACGCCGTTCGCCATGATCGCCGGCAGCGAACTCTTTTCCCTAGAGATGTCAAAGACCGAAGCACTCACTCAGGCCTTTCGCAAGGCCATCGGCGTTCGCATCAAGGAAGAGACGGAGGTCATCGAAGGCGAGGTCGTCGAAGTCCAGATCGACCGTCCGGCGGTTACCGGCGCCGCCGCGAAGACCGGAAAACTGACGCTGAAGACGACGGAAATGGAGACGGTGTACGACCTCGGCGCGAAGATGATCGAAGCATTAGGGAAAGAGAAGGTGAGTAGCGGCGACGTTATCGCTATCGATAAGGCCTCCGGGAAGATCACGAAGCTCGGAAGGTCGTTTTCGCGGTCTAGGGATTTCGACGCCATGGGACCGCAGGTGAAGTTCGTGCAGTGCCCCGACGGAGAGTTGCAGAAAAGGAAGGAGGTTGTGCATTGCGTTACTCTTCATGAGATTGATGTTATTAATAGCAGGTTGTTAACTTTTTTTAATTTTTTGTTCTCTTTTTTCAGAATTTAGTGATTATTTCAGTGACTTGGATTATCGTTATTTGGTTAACCTGTTAATTAATTTGTTATCAGGTAATACTGGTTTTAGAGGAAGGGATTTTCATGTTCTCTGTCTAATATTTCGTAGTGGAAGTTATAGTTTTGAGTAAATACGAATAATCTAGCACGTGACATTATCATGGAGCTGGGGAACTAATGACATGTTTTGAATTAGTTTTATTATTAGAAGTAGCTCTTTTGGATATAGAATAAGCTGATCCAATTTCACATTATTGCTATCTGCCACTAAACTTGACACGGTGGAGAAAAAAATTGGGTTGTTCTTTTTATTATTATTATTCCTATAATATGGTCCTTGAGTAGGATTGGAATGTTCTTGAAATTGTATGAGGATTTACGTTTAAATTGATGCTTCTGATGTGCATTGTGTGGAAGTGGAATTTAGAGTTACTGAGGGAAGATATGGGTAACATTAATATCATTGAAGTCCGGAGGGGGAGTAGCATGTGTGCTATTGTCTTACCTGGGATTCCTGTTTAACAAAATTTATTATAAAAGCTTTGGTATATGATTGTTGTGTCCTTTGCGGCTATTGATTTGATGACGTGACTTTTTTTCTCCCCCCAATTTTGATTAATTCAATGGTTTTAACTTTTAAACAAATGAGGTTTTCTATTAAGATTTATGACCTATCTGTTTGACATTATTTGGCCATTGAGTTCTTTTTTTAATGAAGATGATCCATTATTAACTTGTTGATTGAGTTTATAAATTGCCTTATCACTTATGGGTTGGTTCTCTGTTCTTTGTGTCAATCTAATTCTGTTATGTTAATTTTCAGGACACAGGGATTTCTTGCTCTTTTCACTGGTGATACAGGTGAAATTCGTGCAGAAGTTAGGGAACAAATAGACACAAAAGTAGCAGAGTGGAGAGAAGAAGGAAAGGCAGAGATTGTGCCTGGTGTCCTTTTCATTGACGAGGTGCACATGCTTGACATAGAGTGCTTTTCGTTCCTTAATCGGGCTCTGGAGAATGAGATGGCTCCCATATTAGTCGTTGCTACCAATAGAGGCATCACAACTATTAGAGGCACAAATTACAAATCACCACATGGGATTCCCATTGATCTGCTTGATCGCCTACTCATCATATCTACTCAACCTTATGCAGAAGATGAAATTTGCCAAATTCTGGATATCAGATGCCAAGAGGAAGATGTAGAAATGAGCGAAGGTGGAAAGCATTTGTTAACCAAAATAGGTGTAGAAACATCCTTAAGATATGCTATTCATCTGATCACAGCAGCTGCATTGGCATGCCAAAAGCGAAAGGGAAAGACAGTTGAGTTGGATGATATTAATCGGGTTTACAATCTATTTTTGGATGTCAAAAGATCCACACAGTACTTGATGGAGTATCAAAGTCAGTACATGTTCAATGAAACAGGAGAAGTTGATGAAGATGATGCCAATGCTATGGCCTCCTGAAATTTGGAAACTTCAGTACGAGAGTTTGTAATTGTCTGGTTAGTCTTAGTTTGTGTAAGTAGCAGCAATTTATTTCATGTTCTGGTGGGTCAATGGTCTTCAATTGTGTTTGATATAAATCAACAGAAATTTTCCGTGGTTGAACTGCAATATCAATGCTATGCAAGAGGCTGCAGTGTATTTCTGTTACTACTGAACCTTTCCCCTTTGTTTTTGCTGTATCAAGCATGCACTACCATATCAAGCTCTTGTCCCTGCACCTAGTAATTGGATAGCAGTTTAAACAGATTGTCAGACATGGCTTGTTATATATAGGCTGTCAAATTATTTGCCTAGAAAACCCTAGTGGAAGGTTCAAGGTTGTATGATTTATATTAGAAATATTCCTTAAGATGTCTTTACATGTCTTAAATGATAACTTATTTAGCTATAGAAAACTCCGCTTTTCCCCTCTTCCCCGTACCCTGAAATTTTTGGGAAGGATCCTTCTAAGTGTATGGTAGTTGGATGTGTCTGTGATATGTAGCAAGTGAAACGTAGCTTTGTGCTTTACTGAGATAATAGAGAGAGCGTATAATTTGGTCACAAAAGTCAGTACTTGTGTTTTTGTTCACATTTTTAGGATTAAGTGGATTAGGACTTGAGGGATGAAATTGTTTACGACTTAGACAAGTTGGAAGAAACTTTCGAGGGCACTGGTTAGCATTGCAACACTTGAGGTATAGACACATTTTCAAAGATTAAAATGAGGCAAGTTGTATATTTTCATATAAAAAGAATTCGAACATTGGTTAAAATTTTAAGAATAAACATAGTTATATATTTCAATAAAAAGTTTTAATTTTTAATACACTGGTTAATATTAAAAAAAAGTTGTGACTTGTGAATTGAATTGTACAGTAAGTCTAGTAAAAAGTAATTTCTATATTTATCAAACTACCTTCGAGTTAGGCTGTTCATTACGCTTCGGTCACTGAACGGAATCATGGAATGAAAAACAAGAACCTGAACTGCAAAGAAACTGAGGAATTACGAAAATGATGAAGTATACGGCAAGCGAGGCACGTGGTATGCTTTTTCCCCAATTTGTTGTTATCATTTGATTTGATTGAAAGCCAAGTCATTGCCTAATATCAAGAGTGGGTTTGAGAAGCATTTGATCTATAACTAAAATTATTCTTTTCTTAATTAAATTACAGTGTTATCCGCATTATTGGCACTGTAACTAATTTTAGGCCACTTTTTAAAAAATGATTTGTAAATTAGCAAATTCATGTAACATAAGGCCATCTTGCAGTGGGGGCATGGACCATGGCTACCCCTCCTTCAAGATTCTTTTAGTATTATATGTAAAATTTTGTTTTTTGGTCAACAAATGTAAGTATTGGATTTTTCTCCTTTATTTCATTTAGGGTCAAGTTTTTTGTTAGACACTGTGTTTCTCTTTACAAAGCCCAAAATGTGAATAAACCTACTTATCAGATATGTTCAAGTAGTTAGTGAAATGGGAAGCATAAACATTGTATGGAAAATTGAAAGTGCAATCAATAAAAAAAGAAACTGGTGAGTTCTTATTCTCTTCCTACTTTTCTATGAATATTAAAGTGTTAGGTCCTTTGTACCAAAAAATTTATGCTGAAAATTTCTACGTTCTCAATTTTCTTTACCATATTATTACCGTGAACTTCTATTGAAGAAAAGATATTTTACTTAATTTTCCTAAATTGCTATATCATTGTTAAAAATATGAAATATCAAGTTATTTAGTTTATCTTAAATTACAATTGTATTATTTCTTTAATGCAGAGTTGTGTTTATAAAAAACTAAAATATCAAGTTCAAGGAGCATCTTATAATGGTTTATTTTTCCTACATTCTCAAACCTCCATTGGTTGAAAGTAATTTTTTCACTTGAAAAAACCTCCATTCGATTTTTTTACTTGAAAATCGAAATTTAAATCCCAAACTCATCAGATGGAATGATGTTTAACAAAATTTATGAATCTTGTTTATGTTATAAACAAAATACAGTGGATGAATTATTTATAAGAAATGTATTTAGGTATTATAAGTCTCAATGTAAGTTTTAAGGATATTTTCAAAAGTTACTTATCAGAATTTGTGTCAGCATCGTTTTTAATTTGGGAATAAATTGTTGATTTGTCAAAAATCTACCTAAACATGCTTAGCAATACTAATATTAAAAAAGAAAAATCACATTTTCACAGTCACCATATATATAATAATACTAATATATTAGCAAATAATAAAAGCATAAGTAGAAACAAAAAAAAGGCAAAATCAAAAGGCTTTTCGCATTTGCTCCTTTCTCTTCTCTCTATTCCATCGTGAGTTCGTGAAATACACAGTTAGCATCTCTTCCTCCGCCTTGCATGAGCTTCCGCCGCCGTCATCGCCGCCGCAGACCACCGCCTCCATGCCAACTACGTCCGCATCCTCCGCTGTGTGCCTCTCTTCCTCCGATCCAATCCTGGACCGCCTCGCCTCCTCCGATTGCGAGGTGAAGCTCAAAGCCATCCGAGAGGTGAAGAACCGCATCATCGGTAACCGGACTAAGAAGCTCTCCTACATCAAGCTCGGCGCCGTCCCCGCCGTCGCCGCCGCACTCGTCGATTCCGACCCCAACCTCATTGTCCAGTCCGCCGCCACCCTTGGCAGCTTCGCCTGCGGCGTCGACTCCGGTGTCCGCGCCGTCCTCGATGCCGGAGCTTTTCCCCATTTCATCAGACTCCTCTCCGCTGCCGACGAGAAGGTGAATTCAAATGCCCAATTGTTTGCAACCGTTTTCTTTTCATTTATTATCAGAAAAATTGATGCGTGCTCTGAACTAGTAGAATATTAGAATAATAATTGAGTTGCGATCGGTGCTATTGGTTTAAGATTTTGAAGAAAAATGAAATGTTGATTGGTTGATCCACAATTGGTTTGGTGTTCTTCGTGATAATCCAATGAAACTGGAAACTGTAATTTTACTCTTTTGTTTCATTTCAAGATAGTCAATCTCTCTGCCAAGTGCTTCTTTGAAATTCAATTTCCTTTCTAGAGTTTAATTATGGCTGGGGTGTAAGGATTTATGCTTCCTAATTCTTGTTCACTGCTATAAATTTATTTTTTATTTTTCCTAATGAATTGTAAGCAGGGATGTAGTCTTTGAATTATTGATTGTTTTTGTTTAGTGATGAATTATTGATATTTATGTATTCTATCGTGTTTGTGGGTGAATTGCTTATTGGGTTTGGGTGTACTACTTGTTACTTGTGTGGTCTTCTCAAGAATTTTTATATTTCTCGGTCAGTGACTATGAGACTGAGGATTAGGGAAAATTTGAGTGGAAATGGCAAAGTGAAAATTGAAGCCGTGGAGTGACGAAAGTACATTGTTGGAAGATATACATAGGAAAAGCGGAGTTATTGTTTCTTATTTTTTCCCTTTGCTTAATGCTTTATTCATTCTGGCTTCCTTTAATTGCTCTTTCTCTCCTTTTCAGGTTGTGGATGCTGCTGCACGTTCTTTACGAATGATTTATCAATCTAAACTAGCTCCAAAGTATGATTTTTTTCAACAGGAAAACATGCAATTTCTTCTTTCATTATTGATAAGTGAGAATGAAAATCTTACTGGGCTAGGTGCAGGCATTATTAATCATTCTTGCGAGACGAATGCAGAACAAAATATATTATGCTATGCTGGTGTTTTAGAGAAGCTTACTAGCCTTCTTGATGGTTCTCTAAGTCAGCGAGATGCTAGTCTAGAGTCCTTAGTTGCAATTATTAAAAACAACTCAAAAGCTGTCTCTAAATTTGTGGAACTTCATAGTGGAAGAGCTTTAAGTTCTGTAACTGAATTAACTAAGGACAGATATCCTCGCACAAGGTTACTGGCCTGCTTGTGCTTGATTTCTGTGAAGAATTCTTCTTCTTGTTATCTCCAGGACATAAGAATCAAAACCAAATTGGTATACATTTTGCTTGAGCTCCTTGATGATTCTGGTCAAGTTGGAGATGAAGCTTCTTTTGCTTTCTCGAGTTTAATTGCTGAGAAAGAAGATTTACACAAGCTAGCGTTTGAGGCAAATGCTATAAATAAGTTCAACTGTGTCTTGCAAAAACGTCCTTTAAATCCTAAACGGCTTGAAGGGGTATTTCTGGCATTGGCTGATCTTTGCTCAAAATTGGAGTGCTGCAGGTCTAGTTTTCTTTCATTGCAGGTCTGTTGCTTTTAACTGTGTTTTTATTTTTATGAATACATGCATGATTATCTTCATTGGTGCAAATTGAGACATGAAAGTTATAAATGAAATCTTTACTCAGTCTTTTCTGTAGTCATTCATTATGTTTGTTTAGAGTTGTGGCATTCTTACCATTTTTATAGCAACATAGGTGAGGGTGCTGCAAGGATGAAGGGTAATAGGTGTATGATTGGAAAAAATGTAATAGTAATAGATAATGAGGAGGGTGCAAATTAAGAATCCTGAAACTAATAGGCTTGCCAGACTGCCAGTAACCTTTTCCTGATTTTTTTTTTCTGCTCTCCTGTCCTTGTGGCATCTTTTCATTTAGGAATATGTGAATGTGATTTCTCTTTATTTTGTAGCACATGTTAGTAGCATCTCTATTTCTCTTTTGTTGTCTAGGTACCCATATGTTTTATGCAGTTTCTTGCTTCTCTTTATGTGCTGCATTTGTTTTCTAGAACAATGTAGTTTAACTAAAATAGTTTTAAATTTATTTAGTCATGTTATTTTCTTACTAGCAAAAACACTTGCTCAAGCTATGTGTATGGGACTTTGCATGTAAACTTCTGCTGATATTTTCAGATGCAAAAGTATTTCAGCAGAAACAACTTATATGGGGTATCATTTTTACCTACCAATTACCATTAAGTTGACTGATTACCTTGCAAGGTGCAACTAATTGTTACATTGTACCCAAAGTCTGCCATAATGATTGAATTATTTGCACCCCTATAAATGGATTGTTGACAAAGTGTTGTGGTACTGACTTTAATCATTTATAGCTGTTAGTGAATTTGGACATTTGATTGTTGACATAATGTTTTATACCATCCCAAGTTCCCATTAATGAACATGTTTGAATCAGTCCTGATAGATGACTAGATCCAATTCTAGTGTTTCTTATTCTCACAATGGATGAGGTTAAAATAAGGTTCACCCCAGTAAACTAGGTGTTCAAATCCCAAGTCTGCATTCAACTTCTAATGCACTTTTGTGAATACAGGTCCTAAATCTAGTAGTTGATGCCTTAATACATGAGGATGCCAGTGTACGCACTGCAGCTTGCATTTGCTTAAGAAGTGTGTCACGTTCAATCAAGGTCTGTAACATGATACAAAATTGACGCTTAAAGTGTTTTGGTGTTATTGCTATGTACAGCTTAATTCTCATAAAACTACATTCAGAATTTGAGTGCAGGTCGTTTTATGAATGAAAGGGTTGTTTTTCCTTTGGTTCATCTTCTCTCTGATCTTTCTACTTCTGTACAGGTATTTTGGTTGTATCTGTAAATTTCAATTTCTGATATTTATGCTACATTGAGTAGTTTTGAGATTTGTTCCTATCATACTAAAGGATGGGCTTCTAAACTTTAGAGTTTGCTGGGGTACAGAGCAAAATTAATTCCATGTATATGTTACTCATATAAATTTATATGTGACTATGTAAGCTGTTGCAAACTTGCAATGATAATTCTGACATTCTCCATTGAGCTAAATTTGAAACATTTGTGTTGTCCCATACATAAAAATGCTGTGTTACAAAAAGTGCTGGCATATTAATGAACAAAATCAAACTATTCAGCACTTAAAGGGTTATATTTCACATGAAATAAGGTTATCTCAAAGGGATTATATGTTAACCTAATGTTGATCACTATTACAAACTTACCTGTTATTTCACCCATATTATGTCATCAACTTGCACAAGTGATGAAACTAGGTTAGGACACGTTATCATATTATTAATCATAATGAGAAGCTTACTGTTGATTAGACTCGTCATAGTGTCCTCTTCTCCCTACAACATTTTGTGTTGAGAAAATTTTATATAGATAAACAGATCTTGTTGAAGTTTAGTAAGGCAGACCTTTTTCTGTTTTATCTTCCAGGTTGCAGCTCTTGGTGCCATCAGCAATATAGTGGTTGACTTTATGCCGCATAAATCAACATTCATACAATGTGGGGGCATTAAAGAGCTTGTGCAATTGACGAAGTGTATGGATTTGTCTTTAAGGTTAAATGCTGTATGGGCGTTGAGGAACATGGTATTCCTTGCAGATAAGATGAGCAAGGAAGGAATTTTCTTGGAGTTAACGGCGCCTTCAATGGCTAGCCTTATCTGTGGTATTTGACACTTCATATTTTTTTGGTTTTATTGGTCTCTATTACCAAATAAGTCGTCTTGATTGTGTATACCTCTGCAGATCCTGAACCTTCTGTTCAAGAACAAGCTCTGGCCCTTGTTCGCAATTTTGTTGATGGATGTGTGTACTCTGTTGAATATGCTTTTACTGAAGATGGTATCATAATAGATGCTGTAGGAAGGCAACTACGAAAATCTTCAAAAATTGAAATTTCGATTCAGGTTGGAATTAACTTCTGGAATTAATTATTTTTGTATAGAACGATGATGTAGATTTCTACATTGTACAAATATCATTTTCTGAACTGATTATTTATTATGTCTTTGGGTTTTATTTTCCATGCAGGGGATGTATGTTCTCTGCAATATTGCAAGTGGAAATGAATTTCATAAGGAAGCAGTAATGCAAGTACTATTCCCCCAAGACGAGAATGAATCTCACTCTTTCTTGAACCAGTTTTTGCAAAGCAATGACAGTCGCTTACGCACGGCTGCTGTTTGGGTCATAGTAAACCTCATTACTGGTCCTGGTGTATTTGGTCGGATTGTAAATCTGCGTAGTTTTGGCATTGTTTCTCAAATAAAGAGGATGGTCAATGATTCTTGCATGGATGTGAAGGTCCTTTAATCTTCATCCTGAATCTTTTCCATTTTGTACTGTTAAACGGTTAGTTTTGTAAATGTTCTTTTGTTGATGCAGCTTCGTGCCAAACATGCAATTGAACAGATTACTTCTGGTGATAGTTAAATGCAATAAATTCCTCTGTTCCAAGCCCTTTGGCTACAGAAAAAGATAAGGGATATTGATAGAGTTTATTTCCTCGTGTTCACTCTTCATGCATACAATGTGGTCTCCTGCCTTTTGCATCAGCTTTCAATATGGTATGTTTGAACACATGTTCTTCAATGTATTTTCTTTCTCTCTCTCTCTCTCCTTTCACCTAGCATTGTCTTCTTATTCCTGGTACTAGTTTACCAGTATTTTGTTTCCCCTGAACTTTCTTGACTAGGTGGCATTTTGTTCTAATGTATCAATTTGTTTCCTTTATTTTTTGGTTTCCTTTGCAGGTGGGTCAAATTGCTTTAGTGTTTCTTTGAGTAAACTCCTAAGTTGGTCTTCCAAAGATTATGGTGTAAACACATAAGCCCTCCAAAGATATTTGTCAACAAAATAGTCTCGAAAGTTCTAAAATGTAACATGACTAAAATGGTGATACAAGAGAATGAATTGGGTAACTGTTTTGTATTTTTGAATGGACTAATTTGATGACCAAAATCTTTGGAAGATTAATGTGGTGCCAAGCTAATCTTTTTGAGAGCCTATTTAGGGCTTTACTCCTTTTAACCAATCAGAGCAGTGTGAGAGCTTTTCGATTCTGTAAGCACTCTTGGCCATCAAAATCTCATTTTCTTACTGTGTACCATATATGTATTACTTTTTGTAAATCAGATGATTATAGACTCGGTAGAATTACAGGCTTTAGTTTTGTAAGATATGAGTTGTAACTTGTAAATGTCAATTTTAGAACCGAGTTTCAATTTAATGTTGGTCAGAATTGTCTATTTAAGAAACATTTGAAGGGTAGTGATTGAGGATGCTTCTGGCATTGATGCATGCCTTGTAATTTCTTTTTCAGTCTGATGCATGAATTAATTGATCTCTGGTGAGTAAAGCTCACCTACTTAGTTTCAACAATGTTTCTCAATAATATTGTAGGCCAATATTTTACGGAGAAACAATTTTTTCCAAAAGTTTAGTTTTATTTTCAAAATATGTCATTTTAGATACGAACGGCGAGTATTTATTTTATTTTTACAGTCTGTTTTTGTTTGAAATTGGAATAAAAAAACCGGCACCCACCCTCTAAGATCACTATAAGAACGTTTTTCCTTCTCGAAAAAGAAGAATAAGAAGCAATTTTCGTACATTATGTTCTGTTTAACATATCTTCAGCTGGAAGTACGTGACATTTACACGAGTAGATAACAAATTGGCCGTTGACATTGAGGATGAAGCCTCATTTCAACCACTGCCAAAAATGCAAAAGAAGCAACTCTGTTCATTCGTCATTTTCTCTTATCATATTGATGTTGTCCCAATAGCATACATATTGATATGACTTTTATTTCATATCAAATATTGATAGGCCTGTAAAATACTCAAGTTTAGCTTTCTGCTATAAAAAGAGATGTCTAAAATGGGTAGTATGTTGAGTTTTTCTTTCTTTGCTTTTAAATATTGAGTTTCTTTTCATGAACGATGTTTGTGATCAATTATTGACTCGGGCCGAATTGGGGAAATAAAAAAAAATTAATTAGAATGTATTGACAGTAGATTTATTTATTTTTTATCTTAAACAATTATAAATTATCATATTAAAAAATCACTGACGTTTATTTTATATATATATATATATATATATATTCTCTCAGTTTCCAGAGAAGATACAAATATTTACTCAGATAGAATGTTTAACGCTTATGATGATGCTAGTTTAAATTGGGTTGACATCGATAATCTTCAATAAATAAGTTATAACAAATTATAAATTAATAATAAAAATTATTTTTAATATAAATTTTATGTTTTTAATTATATTCCTCTCTCTATATATAATTTTTAGTTTTTTTTCTTAAATGAGAGTATTTTTAGGAATCATTTTAAATTAAATTTTTAGGTGTTTTTCTGTATAACATGAGTGTCATACATTGAGAATTCATTTTTTCAATTCAATTTAAATTTAATTTTTATTTTTTACAATTTATTTTTCAATTTAAAATATTTTATCTCTATAATTTAGTCTCATTTAATATAATAAAATATTTTAAAAATTTATTAAATTTAGAAATGATTATAAATATATTTTAAATTAATAATAATCATACATTGTACAAAAATTTTACTAGTTTTTATATTTATACAAATCACCACGGCATTTTAATTTTTTAACTAGTATTTAGTTTTTGCTGGTTATAATGTGGGCCAAATTGGTTTTTGTATGCGATTTTAACTAAGACTATTTTTGTGGGCTAAATTGCCCGACTGTCTTCAATGAATCTAACCATCATTTGGTTGGGCTCCGGCCTAATTAGCTTACAGATTTATGCAGCAGCATTATTTGTGAGAGAGAATTTTGGTCAATGAGAGAAAATTTTTGAATCAGCAATATCTATAATATGATGAGATTATTTTCACAGTAAGAATTTTTCCCTCTATATATAAGACTTGAACTTGAGACTTTACTACAGACAAATAAACATATACTTTCTAAACTAACTACTATTACTTGAATGCCAAAGACTTCGATAGCATTTTGCACTTTAAAGAATAGCATAATATTTAATATGTTGATGTGCTCCTCACATTGAGATGCTCGTTTTATTTTTGAGAATTATAGAATTTATTTTTTGATATTGGGTTCGATCTTCAATCTTATCATCTTTTGCTCAGTGATATCATTCCCTGGTTTGTTTTAATTGATAACAAGTTTTATTTGAAAATCTTTTTTCCCCTCCTTATTACTTGTAGAATATGACTGTTTGTGTTAATTTTTTTTTTTTTCAGAATTCTTCTATTTGAGAATTGCAATGAAGGTGTAGAAGATATCTATACCCAAGTATATGCTCAGAATTCAACAATTAAGCGCTATGTTTACATCCATGATGATGAACCATCTAATGATCTTTTGAATTAGATAGTAAATGGAGTTCTGAAGCTGCTCTTATTAGCAGAACCTGTTTAAAACCTATGTAAAACCAGTTCATATTTCAAAAAATGGTTGAAAAATATAAGTTCACAGACAAAAACTGGTTCTGAACTAGTTTTAAACAGGATTCATAGGTAAAGGAATTAGTTCTAAACTATATATATGCTACTTGCAAAGAATTTGGAAGCTGACATGGCTTATGATCTAGATCCCGGTTTAAACATTTTTAACAAATGCCCAAACTTTTTAACAGATATATAACGGATTTTGTATTTAACAAGGTACAGATATATACATAATTTACATAAAACTGAGAATTCTATTAAGGGAAAATGACACATTTTGAAACAAAACAGATTGAATTGAAACAAAAATTATACCTAGACTAGGAAGAGGTTGAAAACAGAAAAGGAAAAAGTAAGATGAATGGCCCCTGAATTATCAGCCAATCTTTTCTGTGTTTGTGTCATCTGAGGGCCATATTACTGTTTCCATGAGCCGTTCCCTCATTAACTCCAAGTTTTCATCAGAGATTTCTTTGTATATCTCAGCATGGTTACATTTCTGCATAAAATGATAAAGATAGATAAAGGTTATAAAGTGATGTACATCACCCCTTCCCAAAAGATTTTACATGACTTGGATATCAGAGAGAGAGAAAGAGTTATTGAATTTACCTTCACCCATTTACCATAAAGGTGAAGCCGTGTTACCATCACTCTTTCAGCAAGCTCTTGTTGCTCCTATCAATTGGTTGAAAATATGACATCATACGCATTGTCATCATGTAACACATTGTAAAATACTTCTCCTGGTCCTTTTATAAGTCACTTTCTCAATGGTTTTAGTGGTCGTTTTTATAAGACACTTTATATTTTCTATACAGCATTTATTATGTTTCTCTCATCGGTGCATAAAAAATAAAATTGGTAGGAACCTAAATTAAATTTAACAAGGCTAAATTTAACAACCTAAATCTAGTTGAAGGTGTTTTATAAAAAGGATTAGAGAGTAAATAAAATCAAGTAAAAGATGTTGATTGAAAAGACCAACATGCTTACAAGGATTAACTTATTTTCTAATCAGTATTGGGAAATGAATGCGGCATGTATAAATAGATTAAAGAGAAAAGGCACTTGAAATTTTGAGTATAGTGATTCGTTTACAAAAGCCACAATAACACCCTTACATCTTTAATTAAAATTTTCAACAAATGAAACAACCAACTATCGTACAAAAGACTACCTTTCCAAGTGATCGAATAAAACGTTTCCCATCTCCTGGTTTGTTTGATGCAACAAAGCTGCCAAAAAGAAAACGTAATAAACAATTATCTAAATCAGTAGCTTTACTGTGAAATTGTAAAACTTCAGGAATAAGCAAATATATATTGTCGACATTACAAAAGGTTTCCATGCATGTGTGCTTACCCGTCGATTGGTATATCTTAAACAACATTAAATCTCTTCAGGTTCAAGAATCTAATTATGAGATAACTATTGAATCATCAAGCTCTAGTTTTATAATCATACTGAAACTACGTAATTGCTCAAATCTCTTCAACAATCATTAGTTACTAGCTATTTTAGCAAGAAAAGTATTCAGTGAATTCAAGTTATATGCACAACAGATTGATGGTCCATTTGGTTTACTCTTTAATTTTATTTTCAGTTGATTTGGTTTTACTAATAATTATCAAAAGGTTAAATTGTTTTTATTTATTTCATGTTTTCAATAATTTGTAAGGAAATAACGAAGCTAACAAAACATTGTTTTTACCACTTTGTGCACAACATCTTAAAAACAAAATACAAAGAAAAAATAAGGTGACTTATGGTAATTATAAATTAAAATATACTAAATAAAAATGAAAACAAAACCAAATGCACTCTAAACATGTGACTAAATAGAAAATATCATTTTTAAACTAAAATAATTACAAGGACATATAAGTTTTTGTTCCTACAATTAATAAAGACTTCACGTACTTGTAGAACCACGTATATTGTGGAGGATTCATCTCATACAACTGCTGAAGAACAGTCCTCACAGCCTTGTACGTGAAATAGTTGAGCATTTGCTGTTTCCAAATATGAGATTAGTTAGTATACAACACTTGTATTCATATAATAGCAGATGGATTGATGATGAATAGTGACAGATATGTTAAAAATCCATATTCTCATTTAAAATAAAACACGTATAATCTGTGAAAGTGATCCTCCTCTTATTTAAGAATGCAAGCTGGTTTTGTAGCACTTCTTGCATGAGTTGTTCATTTGATATTGCTCAGAAATTATTTTAGCTAATGTCAACATTACTAAGAATACTTAAGAGGAAGCAGATCTTGTCTTTATAACAGAGAGAATTTCAAAGCAGCATTTTGAGAAAATAAGTTCATACCTGTAAAGATTGAATTTGAGAAATTACGAAAGGAAACTGTCATACTTATGACACATATTTTGAAACCTTAATATTGTTATATATCTAGCACTCTTTCAGACACCTATAATTCCTTCTTAACATATTTAATGTTGAGATAAATAATTTTGCATCTTTCCATCTGATGTAAGTAAGAAAACTAATTAACAGAAGATTTGAAGTAGAGGGATAAATATTCACTGAAGCGGCAATAATTTTAAAGCTTCTAAGGATAACTATTGCAAGCTACAACCTATAATTATCTATTAAATGACATTTTGCCATAATGATACAATGTTCAAAAGCTCTACCTATGACTAGAATATCTTATAAAGCAGAGACTCCTTAAGGAACAAAGCAAATTATCGCATGTCCAAAGGGTAAAACAAAGCAATGCTAATTGCTAAAGGAGAAAGTGAGCATAACAAAACAAAAACCATAATATTGATTATGTTACCGTCTTAACATCATCAAAAGTATCCTCATACTGGCCTCCAAGTTCATTGACAATGGTCACTCTCCTATCCTTACGCTGCTTCTTGCAACTTTTGCTAACAACGAGCCTCCACTCTCTTCCAGGATCAGTGAATGAACTACTCAACTTCATAGTTCCACCACCATGCCTCGTCAAGTGCTTCCTTCCCATCAAGTTCTTCCACAACACAACATCTCCACCACTCTTGAGATTGAGACTTGTTGTGGGAAGCGCATCAACACACAAACATGGACCAGTGTGAGAGTCCATCACTGATGAACCCACAACAGATAAAGCACCAACCATTCTCTCTCACAAAACCAAACTCAACAACAACAATTCTACAAAACACACCCCAGATGGAAAATTGCCTCAAAAGACAATGAAACCAAATAAATAGAGATACCCACCAAAACAAACAACACCAAGGGAGTTATAGCAATAGTGGGTATCCAAGAAAATTGGAACTTGATGAAGCAATTGTAGTCAAAGACGCATGTAGTGGTTGTGTGAAGGTTGAACAAGAGAAGGAGAAGGCTTTTGGGTGCAAGGAAAAGTAAACCAAAACTATAGAAAGGGTGAGATTTTTGAAGGTGTGAATGAACCTTAACCAGACAAATTTTTGAGGTCCAAAATTGTCCAACAAAAAAAAGAAAAAAGTGAAGAATTCAAATTGACATTGGCATGTATTTTAGATTAAATTCGTCAACAAAAAGTTAACTGCGGAGGCATTGATTTTATGAGTTTGGTGAATGTATAGCCACGTGGTTGTGAATCTTTGTCGCTTTTCAACGCCTTTGGCTTGTACTACGTAACACATGTTACATGTTACATGTATCATAAATGAATAGTACTGTTCCATTACCAACCAAACTCAACGCACTCTCCACACGCATCCATCTGTGCTTGTGCGTTGAGGATTCCATTTGAACGTACCACAAATGTTGGACCATATTCACATTCTTCGTTATTATTTAATGAAAATATGAACTTCTTACATTTCGAAATTTAAACCACAAATAATATACATAAGCTTCAGTCGTAGGATATAAATATATTCTTTCACTATTAAAATTTTTTTACTGGTGCTAGTAAGGTGCGGCAAATGCGTTTTAAAAACGGAGTTAAAAATGAATATATATCATTATTTATCATTTGGCCAAAATTTATGTGTATAAAAAATAAATATTAAACAGATTACCAATAAATAAATAAATAGTTAACAGACATATGTATATAGCTTGACTGTAAAAGATAAGTGCAATTCTGACTTGGCTTTTATTATTATTATTATTATTATAACTTTTTTAAACAGATATTTTTCTTATGAAGTGTCTCTTAAGTTAGAGGTGACAAAGTGAGTCCATTCATCTCAATGCCAACCCTAAAAAGAAGAGTACGATGAGTTAAACCAATTTTTAAAGTAAGCTGAGAATGTCAACCCATCATATTATACAATAGGTTGATAGGCTAACTTATTTAAATAATAAAAAATACAAAAAATACAAATTTAAAAAAAAGAGAGAGAAAATGAGAAAAATGAAATGAACAGTGTGAATGGGAGTAGGAATTAAAAATAAAAAAAAATAAATAATGTTAGAATATTTAAGAACTTAAAATTTTAAAATAAAAGATTGGCAAAAAAAGATCTAACAGGGTAACCCATCTCCCCTCAACTCACAGATAATGTACGACAGGTTAAAGACGTTAAATACATTTAAATAATCAACTTAATCTAAATAAGCTAAGTTACAAGATTTAACTTACTTTATCAACTTTATGCCAAGTGTTATCATATAAGAATTGATGAACTGTGTTTTGTGAAATAAAATTGATTAAAAAAATTAGTAATTGGCAGCATAAAACAACGAGTTCATATGTTGATGATTTGGTACTATAGATCTACTGTTGCAGTTCGATCTGGTTTGATAGCCCAATCTATTTTACCCAAAACATTGGAAATATAAGTACATTTTTTAGTCGCATTACCTTTGTTTAACATTTTTTTAAATATTAATTGTACAGTATATTAAATATTATCTTAGGAAGGTATTTTAAATTATTTTTAAAATTTTGTAATACATTCTAAAATTAAATTTCTAACAATTTTGAAAAAAAAATATGTGACCTGATTAGTAAAAACAGGTAATACGAAAGTAATAACCCATAAACATTTTCGGGTTGTCCAAAACATGTTTCAGTTGAGGCTAAACTTTCCCAGGCCTGTTTTGATGAAAAGTTTTGGCCCAATAAAACTAGCCCAAATATTAGTCCATAACTCTTAATGTCCAAATGTTGACAAAAATATTAGATGACCAAAAACATGTTTTCTCTTGACCTGAAAAAAAAAAATTTGCTTGTTTTTTCTATTGTCAGAAAAAATTAATTTTGTTTTACAAAGGACAAAAATAATATATTTATTTTTAAATTATGTGTATCTTTTATCAGATATATTAAAACTATAAGATAAAACATTACCAATTAATTCACGTATCTAGTGTTTTACTTTATTATTTTAGAAGTAAATTATTTTGCTATGAGATGAATTATTCGTTTTTATTAAATTATCTTAAAGAAATAATTAGTTTTTTAATAATTTTGTAAAATATTCGTTTAAAATAGTTAATTTAGTCGAATAAACATACATTTATAATTTATGACACATACTTTATTTTTCAAAATTTATTTCTTTAAATTTGAACTTTAATATTTATTAAAAAATTTAATTGTGAAATATCTTGATAATATAGTATAAATTGCGAATAAAACACAGTGAATTAAAAACATATACGCAAGAGTATGCTATGCTTTTTTTTAAAAAAAACACCTAGTGCCAAACCTAATGATAAAACTTATATTTACTTATTAATTAAGGGAGGATTTTGAATGGTTAAAGAATGATATCAAAATGTATTTTACATATTAAAACATAAAAAAAATTAATATATCTTCTATTTAACAAGTAAGACGATTAATGTAAATGTAATATGATTTATAATAATTTATACTGTTTATGGATTATTATGTTTTCAGTAGATAAAAGGGTTCGAGTACACACAAAATTTTTCGTACCGTTTAAAAATATGTTTAGTACAAGGACAAGTGTTTTTTTTTTTAAAAAAAAAACATTATATATATATATATATATATATGCGCAAGGCGAAGGAGAGGGAAAGAGAAGCAACGATAGAGAAGAGAAGACATAGTTCCTTGGTGTTAGCACTTGGTACAAATCATTGCTATAATCTTCGCTCAATCTTCTACAATGTTCTATAGAGGGTACCTTCTCCTTTTCTCTTACCTTTTTTTTTGCCTAATCCAATTTGGGGCTTTTCTATTTATTTCAAAACTTAGGTTTAATTCATAATCTCTCTTTTGTTTTCCGTTCTCGTTAATTCTTTGCATGATGTGCGATTTTTTTCCTTTAAATTGTCAAAATTGAGACCCATGACCCTTTCCATTTTTTCTTCTACGAAATCTGAACTATATTTCCCTTTTTTAAAAAAATTGGATTGAAATTTTTAGAAGTAGAACCCAGAAAAAAATAAATACATAGAAAGTGAAAAAGAAAAAAAAAATTGGGGGCAATTCAAAAGCCCAGTGATGGGTGATGATTCAGTAAGAAGTACTGTCAATAGAGTTAAATATGAGAGGGAGTGTTGATGTTATAGTTTTTTAGAGAAATGGTATGTTAGTAACTATATCTGTAATGTGTTCCTTGTTTTGATGATAAATCAGTTGCTGTGTATAACTCAGAGCTGGAAAGGGGTACACACTTCATTGTTACTAATCTCTTTCCCTTAGAGTGAATCTTTGTTCAATTTTTTGTTGTTATTTCCCAAGCCTTATAGTTGTCTTGTTGTGATGTTGGCGGTACAAGTTATTGTTGGCAAGACATGTTTTAAGAGTTATTTGCAACCTAGTAGTTTCTCTGTTATCCCATTTGGTTTTCTTTTGTACTTATATTTATTTGATCTAATTAATTGTGTAAGTCTTCCCTTTCTGTCATTGAGTGAACGGAATCACTGGTGTTATTATTACAATGATTATATATCTAGGAAAGGGACAATTTTAGTTTCTCTAGGAAAGAGGCATGTCCCAGCTTGCATGCATCCTCCTACCAAATCCATAATATTGACTTGTTCATAGATTATATTTGATTGGTAAAAATAACTTCCAAGGCTTGGGAAAATGAATGTATGTGACATTAGTGTCATTATGTCCATTTCCCATTTTCATAAATACACAATTATATTTGACACTGTTGGCAATTTAGGATTAAGGTAGGTTTCTTCAAATTGCTGCAACTTTATCACCATAAATTACTTAACAAAATAATTGAGGATAAAAAGGGTTCAATAATTGAAGTTTTAGCTACATTCAAATGTAAATTATGTTATACTTGGACAGCCTGTATAAGTGTATAGCATAGTTTGAGATTTATACAATCAATAACATGCTAACCAAATGGTGTTTTCTTCTTAACTTTTTTAGTGGGATTGAGATAGGCCGAAGATATATGATATCTATTGTGATTGTTTGGGATGATTTGCCCTAAGGTGAGAGTATGAGAACTACTATGGTCTGTTGCCTTTTGCTGCTGTGTGATATCTTGCTTTAGCAGATCGAAGTGTTATGTTGTTTACTCTCCCACTTGCATAATATTTAGAATAAATAAGAGTATGTCAGGACAGATTCATATAACAAAGTTGAGAGGATAGAACCAGTTGGTTTCTTGCTAGTGGTGCTACATGTTAATTAGTCATCTATGACAGAGTTTTAGTAGGTGATGTTTCTGGAGACATTTTATTCATGCATTTATTTTATATTTAAATTGTTTCATTATCTGAATAATTAATGAAATTAAGGGCAGTTGGGTAAAGGACCTGTCTGAATTTGGTGCTAATCCTTGTGTTTGTATGCTGCATATTGAATGAAAACAAGTATTATAGGTAAAACTCTTGTGTAGCTTTGGTGTTAATCTTTGTGTTTGTCAATACTTCAATATTAATGTTTCAGCCTGTTTGGTTTAGGTAAATCTTCTTTGTTTACATTTTCTATTTTCACTAATAATTACAAACTTCCACCATGTTTTCACTCTCTCTTGTTTTCAGACAATTTTTTTAAAACAGTAACAAAAGTGAAAACAATGTGGCTTTTTTGTAATTATTAGTGAAAATAGAGAACTGTTGAACCAAATAGACCCTCAATGACTATATCAAGTGGGTTCTTATTGATTGAACAAAACTAAGCACAACAAGGAGAAAGAATCTTCGTCCAAGGGTTTCCCTTTTCACACGAATCTTCTAATGCTCTGAAATCTGAATGTCCCTTCCATCCTTATTCTCCCATATTTAGTTAACTAATCCCCTCTAATTAACAAAGTTCTCTAACTGTCATAACTGATTTTTCCCTCCCATATACTGTGCAGCTCCTATTCAACTGCCTCCTTAGAACCATATCCTCGAATATGTCCTTGGGGCACCGGGGTGTGATTCTACACTTAATCTCTAGCCTCAAGATACCCAAGGAATACCCTAGTAACTGTTCCTCTGATGAGGTCAAAACCTGCACAAACAATGCCTCAAATTCTTGAATGTTCCCCCACT